AACGATTTCAATTTTTTTTTTCTTTATTTTACGTTATTTAAATTTCATTTATGTAGTTTTACCAAATTTTTTGCTTTAATATTTGATAAACTTGTGATTATTGGTTTGCTTTTTATTCCCACAGCGAATGTAAACCTGTTATAAAATGCGGTAGTAGGGGGGTAGCTTTTTTTCTATTGCATGGTGATTCTTTATTTCAGAGTTTCTGGCCATGGAGTTAACCTAACTATTATAGGCGCTATCCATTTATTTGCTTATTATCCAGTACTACGTATATGTATTGCCATCATAAGAAAGGTGACAGGTGGTACTGCGGCAATTACTGAGGAATCACGTTACTGGACATCTTTCCAGTAAAAAAATTTTTCGCTAAATAGAAATGCGGGATGATAGAATACATCCTAACCAAGCTGGATTCAAACTGGGACGCGGTTGTGTTGACCAGATATTTACGCTAAGAAGCTGGAACATCGCTTCAGATACCAGCAGCCCACTTGTTTCATCAATTTTGCAGCTATCTTCGATTCGGTTGATAGAGAGGCGCTCTGGAAAGTGATGGAATATGACGGTGTCTTAGAAAAGATCATTCGATTCATAAAGGTATTTTATCAGCATACCTGAGCACAGGTCTGTGTATATGGGGTACTGACAGACTCCTTCGAAATAAAAACTGGTGTTTATCAGGACTGCATCCTTTTCTCTACACTGTTCAACTGTGCGATAGACTGGATAATGGGCATCACTTGTAGGCACTCAGAACGATATGCAAATCAGTCTAGAGCATAGTATTACAGACCTTGAATACGCTGATGAATGTGGTATAAAGTAATGCAAATAATGCTAAACAAAGTGTACAACAACAAAAATTGGACTCAAAATCAATGTAAATAAAACGAAAGTGTTTGTCTCTTATATAGAAAATGCTAATAAAATACCTATTTTTATCAATTCATTCCGTGTTGAGGAAATGCTTGATTTTAAATATCTTGGATCCATCTCTAATCCCAAATGGCCAGGAAAAGGATGAAATTGTAACACGGATAGGGACAGCTAGAAGTGTTTTCAGGCTGATGAAATCTTTATAGAACCGTTGCAGAATCACCATAAAGATAAATATCCACGTCCATATAGCTGCAATTCGCTCGATCTTGCTATTATATTGCTATGCGAAACGTGGCCAATGGAAGTGGAAAATATTAAGAAGCTATCAATCTTTGATCGTCATGTCTAAGATATATTTTACGGATTCATCAAACGGATAAAATCGCTCATGATTGTATCTTCGGCCAACTACCACCTGTATTAATAATATTATCACCGAGCGTCGCCTTCGCTGGCTGGCACGTTCTCCGTCGTCCACCACAAGAGTTGTATATTTCGTTACTTGCTAAACCTTGCGATAGTTGACGTCAAAATCGAGGAAGGCCAGTCAAGATCTGAACTGATACAGCCAGGAAAGATTTTAAAAGTATAAGTGGACCAATGATATATGGACTTAGACGATGGAAAAAGGAATGGCTTCTATTACTATTAGCGATGGCATCGGACCGAACAGCTTGGAGGCTTCTTACCCTTGTAGCCAGCGAAGCCAGTCTAATCAATAATGGTGAGAGCTGTTAGAAGAAATGCATTGCCATAAGGCTGTGCATATTATGTATGCTCATTCTTTTCCCTTTTAGTATAGAAGTTGAGGCGGCCGATGGTACATAGAGAATGAATAAGAAGGTTTCGAGTTGTTGCCTAAAATTTTTCCAGTTTGTAGGTCCTTTGGCAAAAACATCTTATAAGCTTTGAAACTTTATACATCCTATCTTAAATATGAGAGGTGATGGTTGAAACATCGCCGTAAAAGATATTTATGTGATGTTGCGGAACCAGGTAGTAAAACACTATCTGATAATAAGCGAGCTATTGGAGATGCACCATATATCGAGAACCATAGAATCTGATGCCGGGAAAATTATTGAAACAAATCTTACATGAACAAGATTATCTAGAATCTAATATAATGCTACTACCACAATAGCACCTAATGAAAGAGAATATATGAAACGTATAAAGAAGCTGTGGTTCAAAAGATATGAACTACATTGACTGAAAAGCAGCTAATCCAGCGCTTCAACGAAAAAAAGGAGTTTTCTTTTCTCAGTTTAAATCAAATCTGCATTTAAATCCCAGATAAATTAAGTTTGCACTACATCCAGTTTCAAGATAAAACGAAGAAACAAAAAAGTATGTGCAGTCGAATAGTATGGAAGTTAATATAGTCAATATATATTCAGTATAGAGACGGAGCATCTCAATGGATCATTGCTCAATTCATAGCGCCGTAGCGCTGAGTTCTTTTCACTACAGGAATAAACCTGTCCCAAAATCCTGGTCATGCTGGCAACTTACCTGTACTTCTGTTGCCAAAGGACTCCCTGGCATATTTTGACTTCCAATGCGACAAACAGCGGAACGAGTTTAACAGTAATGATGAGATCTCTTTAAAAAAAAAGACAGTATATAAAGGTGTGAGGGCTAAGAAAGGGTAAGACTTGGGTGCTGAAAAAATTCAAAATCATCAGAAGCCCTAAAGCAAAGGTTCATGGCACTGATCATCAATATCTAAGAAGATAATACACCAGAGAAGAAGAGGCCAAAAAACAGATTTTGCAAGGCTTCCACTTGCACTGCAAAAATATAGTAATAACAAAGCTACCAAACTAAAATTGAATAATACTCGAAAAATATATGGGAGAAGAGGATTTTAAATCAGTACAGGATTGTGGTTGTACAGGACTTGAAAGAGCAGCAAATTCTGGTCTGGATATGATCCACACTTAGCGACTAAAAATATTGAGAGTACTTCATGAAGCCCAGCAGTATAGATGAACCAACTGCTAATTGCAGGCACTAAGATTGGTTAATATAAGAAAAGAAGGAAAGAAACCTTCATCCTCATAAGAAACAAGAAATAACTCCAACTGTCGGCCAATAATCTACAGCAGTATAAAAAGTTTTATTAGGTACCATAGTTGCCAAACCACTCGTCCATATGAGCCTGTGTCTGAACATAATTCGAAAGAAAATTGAGAATTAGAAATAGCAGAGGTTTAAAATATCAGCTACAGGATAAGACTCAAGAATTCGACAGACCAACCTCAGCGCAGCTTGGATTAATTATAAAAACAACAGTCCCAAAGACTTTTTTCAAGAACTCTATGAAATTGTTGAAAATGACATGAAGTTAAATCAAAATCAAAACAGCTTGAAAGACTTGACAATAACTTTTATCGATTACTATTACCATTGCTCTTAATCCAGTCAGATGAGCACAGTTGGATAGGATATAAATTCTCAAGCGAAGTAACCATCACCCACCTTTTGTATATCGATAAACAATAAATTCTCTTGCCAAGAGCGAACGAGAAGTATCATGTAGAAATGAACAAAAATAATTATGACTGCTGAGATAAACCTACTTACCAGCGGACATATAGGCTGGCTATAAGTCGTGACGTGATATATCACATGGGAATCTCAGTGAAGTAAGGAAAACATCCAAGTGTTACCAAAGAATAAGGCAGATCATTAAGAGCCAACTCAGTGGAAAAAACAATATCCATGCCATAAACATGTACTCCTTTCCAATCATCGCGTATAATGAACTGTTGGTATAGTGAGATGGCCGTCGATGTAAAGGCAAATAAAATGCACGGAAGTTTGCACCACAAATCTAGTATCTGAATACACCAGTAGGAAAGGCGGTAGACGAGGCTTGATGAATGCCAAAGCTACTATCCTAAACGAAACCTGGAGCATTCCCTGAATAGACTGAAGTACATCAACATGAGGGCGCCAAAAAGCGAATTGTTGAGGGAATATCTGAAGCAACAAGCAGACATTGGTGCAAGATCAAGCGAAAGAAGTACCATAACAAAGCAAGGCTTCATCCATGGAATATACTTTCGGTAATTAGCTAAGATGGCTGATTTTGAGAATTTGAGACCTGTTGAAAAAAGCTGAATTAAAAGGCAGCATTGAGGCATCCAAGAATAGGTACTAAACATCTTAGATCCATAGTATTAAAACCCATCAAAGCACTTCTGCCATATTAGGATTTAAGGAGTGGATTATATTGAAAAATCTGGCATCTCAGCCCATGAATCCATATTGGCAGAATGTGGGATGCAGGTAGGAAACATAAAGAAGTAAATAAGTAACTGGCATCTACAAGAATATCTGCTAAATATATGGCTTTCGATTCTCCTAATTCAGAGATTCCTCAGAAAATCGTGAACAATAAGACCAAAATACAAGTAATAAGTAAGGATAAGAAATCAGTACTGATGTATATAGTTATAGTATACTATAGCATATATACTATAGCATACACTAAATGATGGGGAGATCAGAAAAAAAAAGAATACAAAAAACTAAAGAAATACCAAGGATTGAAAGAGGAACTAAAAAGGGTGTGGAAAATGAAAGCGGAAGTGGTCCTAGTGATGGTAGGTGCACTCTATAACTCTTAAGTAAAAAAAGAGGCCCCAGTAAAATCCAGGAATAACATCGGAGATCGGAGGTCTAGCGCAACGAAGAGCGCATTAATGCGCAGAATCTTCAAATTCTCAAGTCTCTAGTAAAGGATTTGATGAGGAAAAATGAAGATCCATACCATGTAAAAAGAATTAGTTCTCGGACTGAGATAATAAATGTAAATGTACTAGGTGATAAAGTGTTAAAAAATGGTTAGTACTTATCATTTCTGGCTTACTTCACTGGATGTTTGTATGGTTAAAAATTTTTGCCAGAGATTGATTTAGCAATAAAAGCTCATGTGGGCCACCCGCATCATTTGGATTTTTTGGCCTATCAAAAAAGGAGCTGTTTTCCTTCAACATGATAATGTGAATTACTATTTACTCTGCTATCTTATCTTTATACTCGGAGTATGCTGAATTTTAAAAATTTTTTACACTTTTTCTTCATCTCTTTTGATGTTTTTTCTTAGTATGGGTAATGAAATTCTTTCTGAATCATCGCTGAATTTTTCAGTTTTTTAATTTGCATTAAAGCCTAATTTTTACTGTTCATTGTTTTCTCTTCAAGATTTTTTAACATTATCTTTTTTTATCGAAAAGTTTTTGATTTTATTTTAATGTCTATGTTCAATTTATCGCTTTCATTCAGAAGTATCGGAAGTATCGAAAATATAACGTTTTGCTTAATCTAATTTCGAGATAAACTATTTTTAATATTTGGCATTAAATCGAATATGAATTTCAAAAGAATTTTAATTGTTTTCTAAATTCTAAATTCTGAATTTTTTTTATTTTTAAATTCATTAACTGAGTTATTTCATGTTTAATTGTTTATTTGTAAATTTTTGTAATATTATAAACGATAGAATGGCTGGGTTGTTGCTCAATTCGGAGTGCCGCTGCTGCGTCTCTATTCCTCGCAGGAGTAAACTTGTCCAAAAATCAAGGTGGTGCTGACGACTCATCTTTCAAGGGATTCCCTGGAATATTTGTTTAGTGCGATAAGCCAGCGAAGCCAGTCTAACAAGTAATAACGAGAAACGAAAATATTAAAGAGACAAAAATTTACTGGTAATAAGGTCAATTTTCACGCAATCTTTTTTTCGTAGTTTTTCAATTTTAATATTGTTTACAGTTGTTCTTTTATTGACGTTTTTTTTTAGTTTTGTTACTATTATCTCTTTCTATGTTGATTTTAATTTGTCTGCTATTTATTTGTGCATTATGCTTAAGTTTAAATGTTATTATTTACATTTTGAAATTTATTATTTATTTATATAACTAAATATTATCTCAGATTAAAAGATTGCTAGGTCGCGCCATACGTTCAACAATGGATGAAGAAACGACCACTTTGCATGCGAGTTTGCTTCATCAATTATGCGATAAATCAAAGAGTGTGATACGTGAATTGGATTCCAGTAACGATCTAACATTCCTTCGATTACGAACGAGGAAACACGAAATTATGATTGCTCTTGATCGAGATTATTTATTGGCTGTTATTCAGAATATTACGAATTAAGAAAATATTGTAGATGTTTGTGGATTTTTCTTCTAAAAATACATTTTAAAACAGTCATATATAAAATTGGCTTTTCTTTTCTAAATTGCGCTTTTTTTATTTCAAGTAAACATTTTTCGGTTGCCAGAAAATAGAAGTTCAAGTTTATTCGTGCTCGCCCACTCTTTAATGGTGAAATTGTAAGCAACGCTTCCGTTCCATTCTTGAAAAGACCAAATGTCTTGAAAAGCGGGCGTTTGAGACCTGTCTACCCACAGTTTAAATTATTATTCATATTTTTTTCCTCATCGAAATTGTTGAGAACTACATTTTTTTTTTTTTAAATAAATGTATCACTTGTAATTGCTATTTTTTAAATCTTTTCCAAGCATTTTTCGAAATGAAGGTTTATTTTAATCCTAAATCGTTTTAAGAATAATCGTCGTTTTTTTCTGACTGTTTGGCTATTTGATATAGAAAAAAATGAAAAAGAAAGCAAATATTTATGAAATCACCAGAAATCCATCGAAGAAATCGTTTACTGCATTAATTATGTACAAATAGGAACATTATAATTGCTTGTGATAAATTAATTTTTGAAAAATTCAATTTGAAATTTGAAATTCAAGTATTTTGAAAAGATTATTAATGCCCACAATCTTATTAAATTTATGGAACTATGTTTCAGTTTTGCTTTATTCTTACCATAAATTGTTCAATTCAATAATCCTATTTTTTTATCATTTCTATGTTTACAGTTTTCATATTTCGCTTGAAAACTAAGTTTTGCCTTTTCTGTCTTTTTAATGCCATTTTTTGCCACAAGATAATTTTTGAAAAAAATCAGCCATGAATTGGTCATTTGTTATTCGACAATATCGTATTTTTAAAGTAGGCGAAGAAAATTTAAAGAGAAATTATAGAGTTGGGGTCGATCTGAAAGTATTTATTTAAAGACTTTAGTGCAACTTACGATAGAATACAATCATTTGGTATAAATGGTATCAGATATGTTGAAAAGGATGGAAAATATTAATAGGAATCTTGTTCCTGAAAAATTTGTTTCTCATCTATATTTTCAGATTCTTCATGTCTTGGTTATTCGGATTGAAAAATCCATCTACCCCTAATTTAGATTCAACGACGCAGCAATCACCACCAAGTTTGCTCTTTTTAAAATTTCGTTTGTGCATACTTCATATTTTCATCTTCATATCTTCATATTTTCAGAATATGTATTATAATAAAGTCCACTGAATGGTTATTTATGGTTGGGCATAGTTTGGTTTATTTTTATCTTTTTCATTTTCATTATGCATTTTGTAAATAATTTCAAAGCTTCCAATTAGGTGGTGAAGATCCAAGGAAGAATTCCGAACAAGGGAAGCATGATGTCGGACATACAATGGCTTATTCATTCGATTCAACTGCACTTGAACGAGCTGCAAAAGCAGCTCGTGAGCTTGAAAGGTTTAGTAATGCGAAAGAAGCCTTAGAATTATCTCGTATGCAAGAAATTTCAAAGCAAAAAGAATACGAAATGCAAACTAAAGTATTTTTTTGAAACAATTTTAAATTTTAATCTGGATTCCCAGTGGACTTAATTGATAATTGATTTGCTTATGGACATTAAACCGCCAAAAAAAAAATCCTAAAATGAGGATATCTGCGGGGATATCACAGATAATTTTTCATTTATTTGCGGGAAATGATTTGTCGAAATAATTTCACCTCAGTTTTTCCATTTGTTTTTTCATTTTTAATATTTCATTTCAATTTTTTTGACTCATTCAAAATTTTGAAATCCGAGTTAAATTTTAAATTTTGAAATTTTTAATAAGTTAAGTTAAATCCAAGATTTTATTTGCTAAACAATTTTTGTTAGCTGAATATTTTATCTCAAGAGGTGCATAAAACAGTCCACAGCATAACATTACCACGAATGGGATGATGCAGTCTTTTTTGCTAGTACTTACGAAATGCAAATAATAAATTTGTCGACAACTCAAGCAAAAATCGGACCAGGATTAATATTAAAGAGTGTCTCCCAAGCTGGTTAGGGCACATATTTTGTCGCCCACCACAAAAGTTGACATTTTGTTACTTGCTAAACCCTGTGATGGATGGCGTGAAAACTAGGAGGGCCAATTATAACTTGGACTCATACAGTCGGAAAGATTTTGAACGTATAGGTGGACCAGCGATATATGGATTTAGATTATGGAAAAAGGAATGGTTTTTATCAACGAGGGCACTGGATAGATTACCGTCTTACTCTTGTAACCAGCTCAGCCTAACCAGTACTGGAGAGGTGTTAGAAGATTTTTGAGTTAAAGAAAAAAATTTTTTCTCTCATCCTTTTGTGAGTGGTCATGATCATCCTCAATCTCGAGTCCTCGAGTGTAGATATGGAAGATTGGGGGTTCTGCGGGGTATTATCTATTCCTAATAATACGCTCTTCTGGATAAAGGTCTTTTATGTTGTTCCTGGAATCTGTTGAAGTTATTTTTCTAGTTATTTTCATATTTTTTAGGAGTCATAGTTCCAGGTGCTCTAATTATCCAGGTGTGTGATAATTTTAACCTTTAATTCCACATCCTCTCTAGTTGTTTCAGCTTTTCTTATTTCTCTAACTTCTCATATTCTTTCTTTCTGACGTAACTTGCTATATAAATCACGAGTTTTGATTTCTGATTCTTGTCTGCTACCACAGTATCTGGTTAAATGGCCGATACTTGTTTGTATTTCTGGATTGAGAAGTCCC